AAAAAAAATAAAAAATGAAAACAAGTATCCGAAAGTGCAAGGTTCTTGTTGTTGTTAAAGTAAAATTTGCCCATAGACATTTAAGTAGAATGAAACTTATTATTATTGAAAAAAAAAAAACTAATTTCATCATCAAACTCTCTGTTTTCTACCACCAACCTCCCGCCAAAGAATCTCACATCCTTAATAAGTCACCCAAGCAGGGACGGAGCCAGGGGGGTGCAAGGTGGGGCGCCCGCCCCGCCTAGACTTTTGAAAAAAAATTAAATAGGTCCTATACTTGTGAAAAAATCAAATAAACCCTTTTTGAAAAAATCAAATAGGGTATTATAACTTTTATTCTTTTATAGATTTTATGATAAATTACTAGTCACTTGATAAGTAAAATAAATTTAATAAAATATTTTTATTTATTTGATATGTTTGTCATTGTAATATCTACATAATTAATGATTATTTGTATCAAGTAACAAAATAAAATTAACTTAAAATCAATTTTTTAAAACATTTAATTTTTCTATTTGGATCATATTAACTTTTTTTTTATATATAAAAGTTATGTTTTATATTGAAATTTTAATGTGCATAAATTTAATGAGTTTTTTTATATTTAAGATTTTTAAGATTTTATTTTTTATATATTTAAATTTTAATCTTACTTCTAAATTATAAGTCAAAAAATTCATTTTTAATATACACGCACTTCGTCCCCCTAAAATTATTTTCTGACTCCGTCCCTGCACCCAAGGAAAGGATATGTGCATGATTAAAATAATTTCAAGTTGATGTAATGGAGTACTGTTTTCCCATTTAAAAACACAAAAAGTCATGTTCTAATTTTGTCCATCAGACCATTTTTTTTATATGAAGTATAATGTATCACATCCTACAACTTCTAATTTTCCAAACCACTCTGCCGTTCCCTCTCAATTATTTCACTGTCGTTTGAATCATTTCTAAATATTAGATTTATTAATAAATAAATATTATTTTATATGTTAAATTTATAATTTAATTTTTAAAACCAATATTTAAAAAAAATTAATTTTTTAAATATGTTAAATTGATATAAAAGTACATTCTTGATATGAAGTATAATGTATCACATCCTACAACTTCTAATTTTCCAAACCACTCTGCCGTTCCCTCTCAATTATTTCACTGTCGTTTGAATCATTTCCAAATATTAGATTTATTAATAAATAAATATTATTTTATATGTTAAATTTATAATTTAATTTTTAAAACCAATATTTAAAAAAAATTAATGTTTTAAATATGTTAAATTGATATAAAAGTACATTCTTGAAATTACTAAAAAAAATAATTTAAAAATTCACTAATAAATAAGTATTATTTTATCAACGATATCTTAATCTGAGTGGAAGAAACTCATTTTTATTTAAATAAAATTTAGAGTTTAAGTATTATGAATGAAAAAACAACTATAGAAAGAATTTCCTCATAATGGGGTCCAACTTGATTCAATTTTGTTCAAGAAAGTTAGTATAAAAAATAAGTATTATTTTATATGTTAAATTTATTATATGATTTTTGAAATCAACACTTAAAGAGAATTACTTTTTCTAAATATATTAAATTAATATAAAAAATAATTGTTAAGATTACTAAAAAAATTTAATCTTGAGATTTATTAATAAATAAGTATTATTTTATATGTTAAATTTATGATTTAATTTTTGAAACTAACACTTAAAGAGAATTAATTTTTTTAAATATATTAGATTGATATAAAAGTACATTCTTAAGATTATTAAAGAAAAAATTAGTTTTGAGATAAGGAAGAGTTGCTCCAAAAGACAACCTAACCATTAATATACCATTTTTTTGAATAATGAAAATTATTGATATATCTTTCGGTTTAATATACTTAATAACATCTACCGATTCAATCATTAAAATTTATTTTTGAAAATTTTCTCGATTTGAATTTAAATTTAAAATTGTTAGTTTCTTAATTATTAAACCCGATATATATTGTTAGATGTGTTAAATTATAGATGTATCAATAATTGTACTTTAAATAATTGAAATTTCTTTCCCATAATTCAAAGCGGAAGAGATCATAGGTTCATAATTCATACAGTATGTAACCTGTAATCTAAATTATTGAAATTCTACGTACTATGGTATTTAAAGACAAAATTGTCCATTTTGTTTGTCTTTTTCTCGATTTAAAGTTTGAAAATTAAACGGCAACATTTATTTAATCGAAACAGAACATCCGTCGTTATCCTCACCGTCGTTATCCTCACCCCGTCATTCGTCCCTTCCCTGTTAAAATATCAGTGGCACTTTCACAATCTGCTATCTGCCTACATCCACTGGCTCTTGGTTTTGATTATTGGAGGAAGAAAGACAATTAGACCAAAAATGCCGGAAACAGAGGTGCCTTGCAAGAACAAGAGATGGTCTCTTGAGGGCATGACTGCCCTTGTCACTGGTGGAACCAGAGGCATTGGGTTTGTTCTTTGTACCATATTTTCCTTTCCTTTCCTATTCATGCCCATTTTCTATACTTCTTATTCTTTCCCTTACTAATATGCCAGATACGCCATCGTGGAAGAACTAGCAGAACTAGGCGCTGTGGTTTATACATGTTCCCGAACCCAGACAGAACTCAACAACAGGCTGCAGGAATGGCAGAGTCAAGGGCTCAAAGTAAAGGGCTCTGTTTGCGACCTCGCATCTATAGAACAAAGACAGGAGCTCATCGAGACCGTCTCCTCTGTTTTTAACGGAAAACTCAATATCCTCGTAAGTTCTCCCTACAAGAAAAAAAAAAAATATCAATTCAGTTTTTATTTAGTCTGTTTACTTTAAGAATGTACTGTTTTTCGGTGTAAATGGATGAATTCAGGTCAATAATGCTGCAACCGCAATGATCAAAGAGTGCACGGAACATACTCTGGAAGATTACTTCAAGTTAATGACTACCAATTTCGAGTCTCCATTCCATCTGTGTCAGCTTTCTCATCCTCTCCTGAAAGCATCAGGAAAGGGAAGTATTGTGTTTATCTCCTCTGTTGCCGGTGCTATGGCCCTGCCTTCTTTATCCGTTTATGCAGCAAGTAAAGGAGCCATCGACCAAGTTACCAAGAACTTGGCATGCGAGTGGGCAAAAGACAACATCCGTGTCAACACCGTCTCGCCGTGGGCCGTCAAAACCACCATCGCTCAACCTGTAAGATATGTTTTCCATGTTGAATTCCTGTAGTTTTTGGTTTATGGGCTTGTACTTAAACGTTGTAATTCGATTTGATTCAGAACCTGGATTCGCCCGTGGTAGTACAATTTAGGAACCTAATAAGGGGAACACCGATGGGTCGGACAGGGGAGCCTAACGAGATATCGTCGTTGGTGGCGTTCCTTTGCCTTCCGGCTGCTTCGTACATCACCGGACAGATAATTTATGCGGATGGAGGGTATACCGCCGGTGGATGTTGGCCTGAACGGATTTCAGCATAAATCAACTTAGGCCAATGCATGCTTAATTATTCCTGAATCCTGATGATTACTCTGTAGAAATAAACTTTGGACAGCAGTTTCAAAGTTCGAACGGTTTATGTTTAGTATTTAATTAGATGTTTCCAGACTTCTGTGCTGGGTGGGAAATGTTACCGTTGAAATGCTCAGAGTGTTAATACAACCTCGCCTTCCCCACATCCCCTCAAAAAAAAAAAGGCTCTCTGCGTTTCTTTTTTTTTTTTATTCTCAATCTGTGCTAGTTTGATGTGAGGGAATAAGAGACGAAATTATTTCATCCTATTAAATTAATGTGTCGACTAATTTGATTGGTTGAAATCACTTTCTCCAAGAAGCCCTAATCCAAGATCTTGAAAAAGAAAGATTTCACTTACCTTTTTTTTTTTTTTTTTCATTTTTGTGAATATAGAAAATTTTAGAGGAAATGGGATTTTTCAAGGGCAGAATACCGAAATCCACCCATGAACAAAAAATAGGAACAAATTCACTTACAAAGTTTTTGACTTGAACGAATCACGTCAAATTTAATGTATGACGTCATCTAATATCAACAATCTGTTAATTTGACATCATCTGACGTCAACAATCTGTTAATTTGACATCATCTGACGTCAACAATCTGTTAATTTGACATCATCTGACGTCAACAATCTGTTAACAAATTAACGGATTGCTGATATTAAATGATGTCACACGTTAAAGTTTAGTGATTTATCCAAGTCGAAAACTTTGTGAGTGGATTTGTCTCCATTTTTTATTTTGGGGTCGATTTGTTTCTGCTATTATACTTTAAGGGTGGATTTGGATATTTTGCCTTTTTCAGTCCCAACCCCAATTTCTTAGGCATTAGTGAATAATTTGGCCTTTTTAAGTTGCTCCAAAATTAAAAATGTTCTCCAAATATTTATTAGGTTTTTTAAATTTATATCTTAAGTTTAATAAATATATTTTTATTATAAATTTATATTAAAAATAAAAATTAAATTTTAATTTATTAATTATATAATTAATTTATCTACTTAACATCAATATTATTTTTCATATTTATATATATTTATAAAAAAAATCTTTAAAATACAAATTAAAAAAACCATATTTATCTGATTCTCATACTGGAATGTACTGGCCCTTCCCTTTTTTCTTTTTTTTTTTGGTATTTCCACCCTGCTAATTGTGTACTTGAGTTAGGCATGTTTGGATTAACTTATCAGAATTTTAATTTTTTGATATTATTTATATTTCATAAGTTTAGATTTTTCTCTTAAAATTTTATATTTTTAAATTTTATTAACCTTAAAAAGACCATAAACTATAAAAACTCAAAAGTTCAAACTTTTACTTTTCATAAACTTCTTTTTTACTTATTTTTTTTATCTCTAAAATCAACTTTTAAATTTTTTCAAAGAAAAAAAATTTAAATTTATCACTCATAAATATATAAAAAAAAATTCTTAGAAATTAACCCGAACATGATTTAGGTTACTTGGTATGGAACTTCTCCCGTTCTCCCCTAGTTGGGTGGAGTTGGACAAGAGGATTCAGTGGATCAGGTCCGTTCCAAGCCCAAAAGTGCCATAGTGTTCCCCTTTTTCGGTCGGGCAAAAATCAATATTTAGCCCCTCACTTTACAAAATTGATAGATTTTAACCACTCACCTTATAATATGTCAATTTTAGCTTTTTATCTTACAAAATTGATAAGTTTTAACCATTCACTTTACAAAATTGATAGGTTTTAACCTTTCATCTTATATTATGATATTTTTAGCCCATCACTGATACGAATTAAAGAAAATAACCCTCACCTAATATCAGGTTATAACATTCTATTAGTTTTATTAATTGATTGTTAACATATGTTAACATTCCATTATAAAAAATATGAAATTTAAATTCAATTTTATTTGTTAGTTTCATTAACGAAATGCTAACGGATGTTAACAGTCAACTAACAAAACTAACAGTCAGCTAATAAAACTGACAGTCAGCTAACATAACTGATAATCAGCTAACAGAACTAATAAAATATTAAAACCTAATGTCAAATAAGGGCTATTTTCTTCAATTCGTACAGATAAAGAATTAAAAGTATCATAATATAAGGTAATGGGTTAAAATTTATCAATTTTATAAGATAAATGACTAAAAATATCATATTATAAAGTTAAAGATTAAAATTTATCAATTTTATAAGATAAGTGATTAAATATTAGTTTTAACCTTTTCGGTCGAACTATGGTGTGCTGTTGAAACTCATAAAATCCTTCAACGAAAGGACAATCCCCCACTTACAAACTGTTAGTTTAAATAGAAGAAATTTAATTTTTTAAAGTAAAATTTAAATTTTAAATTTTATAAATAAAAAAATAAATATTTAAAAAAATTATTTATGAAATTTAATATGATATAATTTTAAATTAATTAAAATTTAATATAATTTTTAAATAAAAAAAACTCATTAAAAAAATTGTCAATTCTTCTGATTGAAATTACCCCACATCCGAGCTAAAAAATAAAAAATAAAAACAAAACAAAACTGCCGTCCTTTGCCAAGCAATGCAAGACTTCTCATCCCTCGGGGAAATGCCTTTTACCGAACTGTCACTTCACATGACCTGGAGATGCTATTTTTGTCAATGATTGGTCCGATCCAGAAACTTAAAAAAATGTTCGAACTTAATAATCGATCATTGTCTATATTCAGTTCCATTCTAGTATGGAGTATTTAATTTCTCATCCTATCCGAAAGTCATAACAATTGGTTAATTGTCACTGTCAATAACTCAATATAATGAATATATTCAACAAGGTTAAGTAGTAGCGGATAACATTTTCTTAGATTTCCAACGTCACTGTTTTGCCTTGACAAGGTAAACATTTTCCTAGATTTCCAATGTCAATGTTTTGCCTTGACAAGGTTGCAGATATTAATGGGTCATTTTCTTTTTGGTGCGAATATGCAATATCATAGATTAAATTCGACTGCAACTAGTTTGGTGCCAAACAATTTCAGCTAAATCATGGACAATAACATCCATACAAAAACTAATAACAGAGTCAAATATGTATATAGAAAGATGTTCCTTTCGTGTATGCAGCATCATGTTTGGCTAAAACATCAGCAACACGATTACTAGATGTGTGTCTAACTCGCATTGCTAAGAATGAGTAGACCAACCATCCGCAATAAGAAATCAAAGCCATCATAAACTGTTAGAGCAACTGTTAGTGTCCAGGCATTAACAGCAAATGCAGAATCACTTCAACTTCTCAATTTCTTTTTATTTTTTTTTTAACCGGTAATTATTGCTATCGCTATTATTACTCCCCTATCTAATTTTATTAGATCTATTTTTTTTATTTTAAACATTTAAATTTAGTTGTTCTTTTAAAATATCATTTAATATATTTATTTTATTTTATCTGTATTTTTAAAATATAATTACAATATATATTAAACAAAAAGTTTTATTTAAATGACATTTAATTAAGGATAAATATGAAATTTTATTAAAAAATTATTATATTTCTATTTTATTAGACAAAAATTTATATATACTAAAAATGAACAAAGAGAGTATTTGTGTTTAGTAAGAAACTTAAAGAATATCAAATTATAAAATGATTGATTTTATTATAAGACAAGAAAAAAGAGAATCAAATCATGTAATGATTTATTGGATTGTAGAAGGAAAGAATATTATATCAAGGATTTATCAATGGATCAACCAAGGAACGAATATCATGCAAAGGATTTATTATGAAGATTGGTTAACTAAGAAGAAATCAATTTACCAATTAATTAATTTCAAATTTTTGATATAAATTATAATCCTATTAATAGGATATTTCTAATTAATTATTATTATTATTTTTTATATAACCTCTCACCCTATAGATAATGTATGAAGGTTGGTCAATCAAGGAGAAATCAATTTACCCATTAATTAATTTCAAAGATTTAAAGTTAATTATAATCCTATTAATAGGATATTTTCAATTAACTATTATTATTTTTTATCATGTGACCCTTCGCCCTATAGATAATGTTGCTCATATGTAAGAACATAACGAAAAGAAATAAACATATAAAGCACACTAAAGTTTTTGTACCGTGAACTAAGAGATCTTGATACATCATGATATATTGACGTTATCTTGAATTATGTAAGATTATGTTTTTTACTCTCTCACTTATCTTTTATTTTATTCATCTTATTATTATATTATCATAAAAAAAATCCACTACCTAAGGACACATGACTTAATTGAAAAAGGGAGTTTATTTCTTATCTTGTTAATTGATATTCAATTTTTTTAAAAGGGCAACCAAAGGTAATTCCTTATTAAAATAATAAGAATGTTTTTGAATTAATTTGTATCGTATTTCAACATTAATCTCTTTTGGTTTTATAAAAAGTAAGTCATTTATGCTCTAATTTCAACATAAATGACTTACTTTTTCACTAAATAAAAAAAAATAATTTTAAAATAGGTATAAATTAATCCAAAAAATACTCTTATGATTATATATATATCATAAGAAAACTACCATTAAACATTTTCTCACAATATTAGAAGTCTCTAGAATTGAGGACTAGAACTTTAATCTCACCAGATAGTGATCCCCACAAGGGACAGTACTAGGGCCACTTCGCATTCATTGTACATGGGAACCCAATCTCTAGATTTCTGATTCCTTTCTCCAAGGTAAGTTCAAATAGAACACAATTATGTGTTCCATTTATCAAAATATAAAATGGGGGTTCATTGAATAGAAGCTTAGTACTTTAATTCTAAAATCTTTGTGGAACATTTCAATAATTTCAGTAGATTACCAAATCTGTAAAGGACAAATCAAGATTAAAACTTTATTCTCATAATCCCATCTAAAATTACTCCTTTTGGTTAGATCATTAAACTTTTGTTGAGATTTAATCTTAAATCCACTAATAAATAAAGTTAATTTTAATATTTAAGTCTTAAAATTAATATTTAAATTAATTAATTTTTTTAAATACATTATACCAATGTAAACGTGCAACTTTGAAATTATTTACATAAAAATTAATTTTAAAGTGAGTAAAATTTGACTCACAACAGTTAACCTTAGGTACAAAAAAAATTGAAAAAAAAAAAAAAAACTTTTGGCTTAATTTCAAAAGAATTTTCCCGTACCTTATCTTCATGTCTTTTTGCGACACAGTGGTTCAACATTTTTGACTTGGCTTGGAAATTTCTACAAC